CTCCATCCATCCGTCTGTCTGTCTGTCTAAACCAGCGGCCCAGTCCTGCTCCAGGACGTTTTGAGAGAATGAATAAAAATGATAGAACTGCCTGGGGAGAAGCTCAGAGGAAGCTCTCCATGGGGGTTGCTAGGGCCCAGGGTGGAGGCCTAACTTGACCTTGGTGGGGACTCCCCAGGCCAGTGGGAAGGCTCAGACGTGAGGGGTTGTAGAGGGAAAGTAAGGGTAGGCCTGGAAGCTGGGCGCCCTGAGTGGGGCTCTGTCAGACTGGAACATCGCCGAAGGCTGGTCCTGGGCACAGGCCTCACTCTGAAAACCAGCAGCTGGTTTGGGGTGTTGACAAAAGTAGGGGAGCTGGGGCTTCAGGAAGCAACTCTCCAGTGTTCAAAATAGAGGGTGAACTGGGGCATTCTTAGTGGCAGATGGTTCAGAGTGGTTGAGAAGCTCTTGGAAATAAAAGAAGGTAGTTCGTGTGAGGAAAAGAAAGCAGTGACTGGAAATTGGAGTGGCTACCTGGGGAGCCTTCTGTTGAAGGAGGTAGAAAAGCAGTTAAATGGAGAGGAGGGCGTGTAAGCAAGGATAGTCCAGAGGCCACCACAATGAGCTGATGCTACTGGTGAAGCTTTGCCTGACCAAGAGGCCAAAGGGTGTCTTTGGAAAGACAAGCGGAGCAGTGCCTGGTCCTGGTGTCAATGGTGGAACATTAGGAGGGGCAGGAAGACATGAGAGGAGCTCTTGGGTCTTCTTTTGTTTCCAGCTTATGGAAAAGGAGCTTGAAAAGGTAGGAAAACTATGTTAGGAGGACAGGACTTGAACTCAAGTTGAGTGATTCATCTCTAGATCTGGCAAGTTCTGTCTCGGGGTGCTGTGGCTGGGGTTGGTGACCCACAGGCTGCACAGGAAACAGCTGAGGGGCTACGGACTGGAGACAATTAATGTCCATTTATCAGAAAGGCAAAAATGGTGGACTCCAGAAATCACTGCAGATGACTGAGCATTTAAGACATGCACTTAGAAAATGGTTGTCGGCGGGCTTGACTGTGCTCACGGGGAGCAAGCGCATTTCAGTTGGACATCAGATAAACCACTTTCGGATCTAGGCAAGGCCCCTGATAGAATCTTAGGACATCCCGATACCCTGGTGATGTCAGCCTGTTTATAGTCAGCCGTGAGTCTTTCCCCACCCCCTCAAGGGCTCTGCTCCTGGTGTTCTGTTCATGATTTGGAGTCACATTGACAGGCTGCTTGGATGGTGCTGGCTGAGAACAGGCCGAAAGGGACAGGATTGAGGTCTCAGGAGCTCTCGGTACACTGAGCGAATGACGGACCTGTTCTAAAAAGGGGGCTTTTACGGGGGAATGTGAGAGATTGCACTTAGGGCCAGAAAGTAACTGCTGGGGTGCAGCGTGGAGTTTGTGGCTTAGTAGTGACAGGAGTGAAAAGAACCTTCTTGAGTTTGTGCTGGGTGCAAACCCCACATACATCAGCAGGAGGATGTGGCTTCCCTGGGAGCCAGCATGGGCTCAGGCTCCGCCGAGAGGCTCATGGGTGGCAGGGATGGGAGAAACGACACCCTAACAGGAGAGACACCTCAGCCCCTATAGGCAAAGCGGTGGCTCCTGCTTCAGCCTTCAGTTCGGGGAAGTTTCATTTCTTTAATAATTTCTGCCCTCTCTTTTTCTGTTCCCTCTTTCTGAAACTTGTTATTACTCAGATTTTGGGTCTCCTGAGTTGATCTTATTTTCTCACCTTTTTTTCCTGTTATTTGCTCTCTATTTCTGTTTACTTTCTGGAAGATTGCTGCTAACCTTATATTGAATCTTTTCATTTCACTGTCATTTTAATTTCTGGGAGTTCGTTTTGGCTCCCTGAATGTTTCTAAAAAAACAGCATTTTGTTCTTATTTGTTGGGTGCAATCTCTCATCTTTCTTAGGATGTTATAGACTGTATTTTTAACTTCTCCCTGCATTGCCTAAGAGTCTATTTTTTGTTTGTTTATGTGTTTAATCTTTTCTTCTTGCCAGAAGCCTTTCCTCGAGTATCTGATAATCCTTGACTCTTCTTATTTGGGCACCAGAAACTGAGTGGAAACTGGGTGGGACCTGTCACCATGGACTTCACTGCTGGGTTCCCAGCTAGGGAGGAGGTGTTTTGTTGGGGTAACCTCCAAATTTAATATCTAAAGATTTCCTTTCCTCTATCCATCCCTCCCCATCCTTGACTCTCAGGATCACTGGATATTTCCAGAAAAGATCCTGTCAGGTTCTTGTCTGTTAGGTCCAAAGTTCTTAGGGCCAGATGTAGGAAGGACATTTGGATATCTGTGCTCAGTAGGTAGATTCCACAACTGAGGAATTCCAGAACTATTCCCAGTCTAAAGTACCTTCTAGTGAGGAACCACAACGAAGAGGTTAGGCAGTTCCCAGAGCGCTGGGATAGAAGGAGAGACCTGAAATTCATAATGTACCGAGTAATACACCACATGGTGGAGGTAACAGCTGCCCTGGTCTGTCCCGAAATGCCCCCAGAGCAGCCTCTCCATGTGTCTCTCACCCACGTGTCTCTCACCCATATGTGTCTCCTGCCTTCATTCTACCTCCATTTATTTATACATCTTGTTCCTTCCCAGCTGCCTCCCCATTCAGCACGGTATGCTGGGAATTGTTGTCCAAAGTGACTGTAAGTGGGAGGGGGTAAGATGGCCCCTAGTCACTGTGCTGCAATGTCCCTCCCTCTTCACAGAGATGCGTGCTATAATGCTTTTTTTTTTTTAAAGAGGCTCATTTTTGAAAAATTTATTTATGCACACAAGAACTGAGGTACAGGGATGAGAGGATTCACCAGAGTCAGAGTGGGGAGCAGACCCAGACCAGTCAGATGTACTGAAATACACTGCTGAAGGGATGCGGATGAGACAGGAGAGGTCAGCTATGCCATGTGGGGATTGAACTTAATGCTGCAGTGGCTGGTGTAGCTTCACTGTGCTGAGACTTAACCCCTTGTGCCACCAGGGATGCCCTATAACACTTTTGTGTAACTGTGTATATCCTTTTGTCTTGTGTGTGTGTTTAACACATTTTGATGTGAATAATGCATTAAAAACATCCAGTGTGAGGCCCTCCTTGGTGGCGCAAGGGATTAGGACGCAGCACTGCAAGCAAGCCTTAGCCACCTCAGTGCAAGTTCAATCACCGGCCCCAGAGGTGACCCAGATGGTGTGGCAGACCTCTCCCGACTGCCCGCTGCTCCCCTCAGCAGTCGTCGATCTGCCTGTTCTGCTCCCTGCTTGATCTCTGGTGAATCTTCTCACCGCCCCTGCACCTCTGGCCTGTACCCCAGTTCTGTATGCATGAATAAATACATCTTTTAAAAAATATATACATATGTATATAGTACAGCTACTACTACATTAGCTCTCATTCCTACCATCTTATTTAATGCATCCTACTTACTGTGTGATTTCTTTTTCTTTCCTGTCCCTTACTGTGTAGGTTGAGTTTCTTTCTGCTGGTTGGGAAGCCTGGTATTCTTAGGTCAGCTTAACTCCCCGTGCCCCTTGCCCGGCCTTCGTGCAGTGCCACCTCCCTGGCTGTGCCACTGCCTATCCCAGGCTGGCTTCTGCAGAGGGGTGGCACTCTGCTCTGCCATCTTGTTCCAGACAGGACAGCTTGACATAATATCCCTGATACTTTGTGCAAATTTGGGGGTGGTGGCTTCTGAGGGGCAGAGAGGGCACACGGCCCAGTCTGAGAGCTACCCCGCAGAACTGGGGTGCCAGCCCTGCTGGGGCTCTCTGGGGGTCATCTGCACACACAGTGAGGGGCCAGCTCCCTGGGTCCTGGGCCTGTGGACCGCAGGCCTGCAGTGTGGCCCACAGCTCAGTGACCGCTCCTCCGCCCTTGAGGCCATGCAGAGCCCTGTTGCCTCCATCCTCCTGGAAGCAGACAGGAGAGGGGCCTCCGAGAGCGGGGGCGCAGGGGAGAGGGCCACGGGGTGGACTCAGCACTCCCAGCTCCACCCAGAGAGGCAGCCATTACTCAATGCCACCAAGCCCCTGTCAGCCAGGAGTGCGGGCCCAGCAGTGCCAGAGCTTTCCGTTTTTCAAGAGAAGCCAGGAAATTGGATTTTCTGTGTGAAATCTCCAGATTTGTGTATATTGGCTCAAAAATGTTTATAGCCCCATGTAGACCAAATTACAGTCTGCAGGCTAGACTCAGCCCAGACACTGCCATCCTCTGCTCTGGATGCTCGCTGATTCTGTCCTGGTCGCTCTTTCCTGGACAGAGGACCCCAGGGAGGTGATTTCCCTCCTCGCTACCTTTTCGGGGGGGCCCCCTCACTCTGCTAGCTTCTCATCTTACAAGTGTCAGCAACCTGTCAAGCACCCTCGTGCTATTTCTCGCTGCCATTTATCCTTTTAAGCTCATTAGCCGCATTATTAAATACTCTAGTGAAGGGCGGTGTGGAGGTAAATTTCATCCTCACCGCAGGAGGGTGGGATGTCTGGGTTTGGTTTTCCTGATCTGCCTGCGGCCAGGCCCGCAAGGCCCGTTTCCTAGAAGTACGTGTAAGGACTCTCCTGCTCCTGCTGGAGCTCTGTGTGTGGGGCCAGCTGCCTGGGTCCTGGGCCTGTGGGCCGCAGGCCTGCAGTGTGGGCTCACAGCTCAGTGACCGCTCTTGTCTTGCGCTCCCTTCTTGCCGCCCACCCGGCTCTGCCCCTCTCTTTCCCTCTGTCTGCGTGGCAGCGCTGCAGCTTTATATCCTGGGTGGTTGGTGAGTCATTCCTCTGCAGCCCCTCAGAGAGGGAAGTGAAACGGCTGCACCTGGTGGGGCCTGCCCTTTGGGTGATGGCGGAAGTAACTGCACACGTGGGGCTTGCTGCCGAGGAAGAAGGCCCTCCATAGCTCTGTTGTGCGAAAGTGCTGGGCTCTGGCTCCTGGCCTGTGCTGTTCTGATGGTTTGCCCCCCTCCCCCGCCTTCACTTTTTTCTTGGTGACAGCTGGAAGTAGCCGTGGTCACAACTGAGAAAGCCAAACATTTCTACAGCCCCCAGGATGTTCCTGTCCCCCTGTACAGCGACTCTGATGAATGGGAGGTCAGTGCGGGGGCCCCAGGGCCGAGTTCTACTGCGATGCTACCAACGGGACAGGACTCTTCTCCATGCAGCCTGGGGTCCTGGTGGCCAGCGCAGACAGACCAGGCTCCAGCCAGTGGCCAGGGCCCTCTGGGCAGAGGCAATGAGGAAAACATCTGTGTAGCTCCTGGCCTACAGGAGGCCGTAGTCTCCTCCCACTGCCGGCGCAGCTCAGCTTTGGCTGGGTGCCTGAGGTTGAGTGTCCTTGTACTTATCTGGGCTGATGAAACCACAGAGGCGCTCTGTTCCCACCACCCCTGTCCACGTGGCTCCCAGTGTCAGGGCTGTGGAGATGGCCTCACTTCCCACGGCCGCCGGGCTGGTCTGCTCTCTGCAGGGGCGGGCACTGACCCATTCACCAGACATCCAGTGTGGGCCTCACTGGGGTGCCCTGCCAGGCAGTTTTAAACATTCTCAGCCTAGAACATTTCTGGCTGGCCTGTCTTCCCTGCCCCACCCCCTCCGTTTCTCACCGCCCCAGAGCCTTCCACGGACTTGGACAACCCAAGCATCCGCCTCAAGCAGACAGGCCAGGAGTTCCCTGCCAGATGTCAGTTCTCTTGAAAACCAAACCATAAAGGGAATCGCTCAGAGAGACAAGGGGCGTTTGTTTCCTCAGGCCTGGCTTCTCTCAGGCTGTTGGCTCTGTGGTCCATGCTCACTAGCTCAGCTGCTAGAGGGCCTGGAGGTAGCCTCGGGCAGGGTATGCTGAAGGGGTATCCCTTGGGCTCCTGGCTTAGTGTCCCTGCACTGGGTTGGCCTTCCCCTCCCCTGCCCGTTGGGAGAGTGGACAGCCCAGTGACCCTGTTTTCCTTCTGCCAGATGTGGAGGTGCCGCTCCGACCCAGTTCTTCACATTGACCTTCGGAGGTGGGCAGACCTCATGCTGGTGGCTCCTCTTGATGCCAACACTCTGGGGAAGGTGGCCAGTGGCATCTGTGACAACTTGCTTGTGAGTGACTCCCTGTGCCGCCTCCAGTGCTGGGCCTCACGCCCAGCTGCAGACTTCCTTTCTGTCAGCTCTCCCTCAGAATCAGTCCTTCCAGGGTGGGGCTGCTTTGCTCAGAAAGGTGGGCCCCTGCCTGCTCTCCTTGGCTCACCGTGCTCTGGCAAGTGGGCACCAGACCTGGTCCTGATGGATGATTATCCGCGGGTGCTCCCACCTGCCCCTCGAGACTCAGCTCCCCTCCCTTCCTTCTCTGGGCTGCCTTCATGTGCTCTTCCGTGGGCGTCTTGCCTAGCCCCGGGGCCTGCCCCCTCAGCTTCTCACCAGGCCCTGCATATCCACATGGACACTCTGCTTGTGTGCACTTCCTCATAGCCCCCTCTCACACTTGTCTCCCCTGTAGCTTTCTCCACAAGCAGAGATGCAGCTTTCCTATATGTTCTGGAAAGCTGAGAGGGGAAGAGAGAAGGGGGACAGGGCAGGAAGCCCAAGCTGGCGGATGGCGGAGATGGGAATCAGAAGTCCAGTGTGAAGTGGGAGCTGTCTTGAGGATAAGGGACCTCCAGGGAGCTATTGTCATTACCTTGTCTGCTTCTGTGCTCATTCTGGGAGAATTTGGGGGTGGCCTCTTCTCCCTCTCTCCTTCCCTCCCTCCTTATCCCCATCCCATTTCCTCACTCACGAAACTTTTACCTGCCGTGAACCAGGCCCATGCTGAGGGACAGCCAGGTCAAAGACTCGAAGTCTGAAGGGAGAAGCTTTCTGGTCACCTTGCAGGCACAGCGGGTGTGTGCTCTGGTGTGTGGCCTTGTTGCATCTTTGACAGTGTAGTCACCACCTGGTGCGGTGCTGAGCATGTAGTAGGCAAGCAGCAAATGCTGACGCTTGATATACTTAGTAATTTTACTTTTGTAAGCAACCAGGTATTTCAGAGCTTAATACGGTGAAGAAGTGAATGATGAAATGGGTTCAGGATTTTTGGGGTCAGAGAGGCGGTTAGTTTCTTCACATGTTTGTGGAACATGCTTAAGGCCCATCTTGAAGAGTCGCCCAGTGACTTAAGCACCACGTGAACACCCAAAGAGTGGCCACAAGAGGGGCGGCCTACAGGGTGGGTGGCGGTGCCGAGAAGGGCAGGCCTAGGCGTAGTATTGTCAGAGTGACTTCCCAGGGGCCCGTGCCGAGGGAGGCTCCTCGCCACTTTCAGCTACGAGGGTCGTATGTGACCTGCACCCTCTCACCAAGTGTCCTGGCTTTCCCTGGTTTCCAGCCGCTGACGTAATAGGTATACAGGCCTCTAAAAGTTAAACCCTCGCCTGGGTCTTCTGCTCCTTCCTTCCTCTAGAAAGCTCTGCTTCTCTCTTTTATTTTTCTCCCAAGCTACTATCACTCCCCGAAATCTTTTGGGTTCTCTCTTTCTGGGTTGACTGACCAGTGGAATCGATTCCAGTATGAGTCCCCAGGCCATCTGCAGCAAAGGGTTTAACTTGATGTCTCAAATATTTCAAGAAATTGCGGCTCTTACAAAGTTCAGACTCCGCATCCTTGGTCTATGGCTCTGTCTTTTCTCAAAAGATGTTTTTTTCCTTCTCTCTGAGAAGCAGCAGATCCTGACTTCAGCTGTCTTCTCCCTTCTCAGTGTCCAGGGCCTGGGGGGCGCCTGCCCCTTCCCCCCCAGTGAGCTGCACCTCTATCTGCCCTCTGGCCAACACGCCCTGGCTCCTTTTTTGCGCTAAAGAGACAAGCTGACCAGGAAGAGGAGATGCCTTCCTTGAGTCACTAGTCTGCCTGGAATCTGGTCTCCTGATGGGATCCAGGTCTTGCCCCAGCCCAGCTGGATTCTAGGGTCCCTGGAACTGGGGTGTTGAAAACAACATTGACTAAACAGAAGTGACTGAAGGAATTGGTGTCCTCCTTGCTACTGCTGCTGCTGCTGCTGCAGGCTCGGGGGAGCTGTTTGTCCAGGAAGCCCTGAGCTTTGAGATGAGGTAGGAGAAACTAGAGAGGTATGGATTGTCTGGGGTTTGGGTTTCTGTTCTAGTTGGTGTGCTCTGCTTTGTGGGCACTTAGAAACCCCAGCCCAGCCTCCACCCACCCCACACGCAGTCAAAGGGTTCTTCTAGGTATGCTCGTGACTTCTGCAGAAGCCGCAGGTGGCACAGGGCCAAGAGGAAGCGGGACTGAAACTGTCCATTCATAGCCTGGTTGCGGAGTTAGGGGGTGGGACAAGAGCCCGGGGTCTAGCCGACACAGCTAGCTCCTGAGTCTATGCGCTGGGCTGCTTCCTTCCTGTCCCCAGGAGAGGGCAGGGGCATCCCAGCACAGGCCTCGGCCCTGGCCTGTTCGTGACATTGTTCTCTGGACTTCCGCCTTTCTTTTCCCACTTCTTCCACTTCAGAGAAGGGCCAGTCAGCCACTGTCTCTCTGAGGGGCCCATGGCTGGGAGGAGGTGCCTGGAACATTGAGCACAGGAGCACAGTCCTGTGGGCCCCAAATCTTATTTCACTTCTAGGCAGAGTCTCTTCTTTAGGGGCCTGTGCCTGATTCTGGAGCCAGTGCCAAGCTCTGTCTTTATAAGCATCCTCACCCTCCACCCTCAGTTACCGGGGTGGGGGGTGGTGGGGTGGTGGGAAGCTTTAGCAGTGAGGATGCTCAGCTTCTCTGTTCAGAGTCCTGTCCAGGTTTTCACAGCCAAATATAGGAGGGAGCACAGCGAGGATTTGAGCCCAGGTCTGCATGATTTCACAGCCACAGCTCCAAGGACTCCTTGAGTTGGCTGGTCCCTCTCCCACCTGTTCTGCTCTGTGACTTGGGATGGGGGGGGGGGTTGGGGGTGGTGGTGTGGGGGGAGTGACCCAGAAGTTGGGAGGTAGTGAGGCTGCTCCAAGTGGTGGAGGCCGTGTGAACCCTCACACCCCAGTGTAACCTTGGTAACACCCCCCTCTGGGGAGTGCAGCTTCCTGACCCATGAAATGGGACAGCACCTTTACAGGTTCGCAGTGAGGGTTCAGGGCATAGCACCTGTAAGAGGGTTTTGACATGTGGTTGGTGTTGTTTTCATTGCCAGGCTTCAGTTGACCTCAAAGTGGAGCTGGTGTTGGGGGAGTTGCGCCCCACCTGAGGAGCCGTCGGGCCCTCAGCTTTGCAGGTTGCTGCAAAGCCGGCCTCCTGCTCCCCTGGGCTGCTGGGTCTGCAGGTTGCCTGTCTGCGGCCAGCTGTGGAGAGCCTTACACGCACAGGAAGGCCTTTGTGCATGGGAGGGGGTCTGCTGGGAGGTGGCTGGGCCACTGCAGGCTTTGATGAGCGCCTGTCACACGGAAGGCCTGAAGGCTCCAAAGGGGAGCAGGAGCCAGTGGGGAGGGGAAGAGGGACCAGGAAACCTGAGCTGGCTCCCTGCAGCGGGAGGGCTGAGGTTTGGGAAGGGCTGGAAGGGGCAGGCGGAGCAGTAGGCTCTCCTCCACAGACCTGTGTCATCCGCGCCTGGGATCTCAGCAAGCCCTTGCTCTTCTGCCCCGCCATGAACACGGCTATGTGGGAGCACCCTATCACCACACAGCAGGTGGGCCAGCTCAAGGCCTTCGGCTACGTGGAGATCCCCTGCGTGGTCAAGAAGCTGGTGTGTGGGGACCAAGGTGGGTAGGGCCACAGACGTCGTCCCCACCGGGGCTGTACAAGTGTTCCACTTTGGGGGCAGATCTGGGTTCACACTCGCACTTGCTGTGACCTCAGTAAGACTGTTTTCTGAAGCTCAGCTTTCTCAGGCCCTGGGTGGTAGTGGGCCTGGGCCCCGCCTCTGCCTGCAGGCTACATAGAACTTTGCTCCCTAGGTCTGGGCGCCATGGCTGAGGTGGACACCATTGTGGAAAAGGTGAAAGAAGTCCTCTCCCAGCATGGGAGCTGCCAGCAGAATTGACCCAGGAGGTTTGTCCCACGTGTCCCTCTGCACTCAGCATGTTTTCAGGTGGAGTTGGTAGTGAAAGTGGACACTAGATATATGATGAAGATGGCTGCCCTTCTGAGCAGGGGTCTGGCTGGGCCTGCTAAGGGGCCTCCTGGCAGAGGGTGGGCTGCATGAAACTAGACCACAGGCCCAGGACCAGAGGACACCTGCTTTCTGGAGTTCCTCCCCACTTTTCCTGAGGTGGTATTACCAATGAGAGGAGTCAGCTGCTGTCCTGTCCCTGGGCTCCTGGAATAACTGAGAATGACTGAGAAGCTGTGGTTCGCGCTAGGCCCAGGAATGCCTTTAGAAACAGCCCCAGTGGACCCAGACCTGACCAGGCCTCGGAGCTTTGTCTCTGTGATGGAGTGTACAGGTGCCACACAGAGTCAGGGCGAGGCCCTGAGACCCTGTGGCCCCACTGACCACACTGGGAGACCAGGATGCTAGGGAGTGAAGGGAAGGGGCCTCTCAGGAGACGTTGTTACGGCCCACCCAAGGCGCTGCTAGGTGTGGCTGGGAGCATCCGCTGGGTGACCGGTGTCCTTAATCCCCACATCCTGGTGTGGCTAGGGGCAAGGACTCTGCACGCACAGAGAAAGCCCAGCTCTGCCGCCTGCGAGCAGTGGCTCGGGTCTCAGCCTCTGTGGCCCTCTCCCCGCAACTGTGCTAGCCCACACTCACGGAGTTGTCGGGAGGATTAAACGAGATAACACACGGAGTGACAGTGGGAACTGAATGTCAATTAAACGGAATATAAAGCTAGCTGTGTGTTCATGTCAGTGAACTTTCTTAACATTTACTGAAGTAGCCATCTCATTTTGGGAAAATGCAAATCCCAGGCCCTAAATCGACACTGATTTTGGAACCTGACCTGGGGCCCAGCTCTCTGCTCTTGGTGTTACCTCCTTCGCTTAGCTGTACCCGAGATAGGGCCTCACTGTCCTGTGCCTCCTCACCCCGCTCCCTGCCCAACAGCACTTGAATAGGGGAGTAGACTCCAGAGAGACACTGACAGCCCTGGAATCCCCCCACTGCCCTCCTTTGGCCAATTACTGGCTGAGGCCTGCAGTAGGAAGGGGCTTGTTTATCTAGTTGGATCTGAGGTTGGGGCTGGTTTCTGCCTTCCTGTCTCCCAGGCCTGGGGGAGTGGGCCCCATGTGCGTTCCTGCGACCACTGGGGACCGAGACCTTTGAGGGGCTCCAGGAAGCCCACTTGGTGAAAGTAAGCCCTCCAGCAGCCTCTGAGAACTTGATCCTCTGCAGTTCTTGACTTAAATCAGGTGACTCTGAGATCAAAAGTACTAAAGAAAACCATAACTGAATTAGTAGTGTCAAAGACCAAACCATTTGGCTGGCTGAGGGATTGGGGTGTGAGGAAGCCCACCCCAAACTGAATAACTGAAATCTGGAGACAACCCCAAAATTACATTTAAATGAATTCCAGCTTCCCTCCTGTCCACATCACCCCTCTAACCAGTGATGAGGCTTTTCCGTTTGAATGGAAACTGCTACAGCTTACTGGCACTCGCCCTGTGCAAGGCTTTCTGCAACTGATGCCTGCTTTACAAGCCCGTGGAAGTTGAGTTCCAGGCCTCAGCGTGATGCCTCTGAAAACAGCTGTGGCTACTCAGCAGGATTGAACCTTGTCGACTAGGAGGAGAGAGGCCCAGCAGATGTGGGCCAGCTGGAGGCCCCACCTCTGGGGTCTGCCACCCCATCATGGCACTCCTACTCCCCTGTTGCCTGTTTTGAATGGGGTCTGGATGAATGGATGTGGCTTGGCACTGAAGAACCCAGTTATTCCCTGAGCCAGACTGGATCAAAGAGGAGGCAGCAGTGAGTGTCCGAGCTGCCTCAACTTGGACCTATCTGCCAGAGGGGTGCTGAGTGCAAGGGATAGCCCTGGTGCTCCCCACTAAGAGTCGAAAGTTGGAAGTTTCTCAAAGAAGATGCCAGCTGCCCTGATCATTTTTATAGAATTCTGGAATTTCGAGAAAATGTGTATTTAGGTCTGAAATTTGCGCAGTGTTTTTGGTAGTCTCTAGCAGCTGTGAGCAAAGAGGTGATGCCTCCAATCCAGGGCCTGGCCTGCACACTGCTCTCTCCAGCCCGCCCAGAGCCCTGTACTGCTCTGCTACCTCCCTACAGCCTCCGGGAAAGGCCTGGAATCCTGGGCAGTATACACTTGGCCCTCGGGGATTGGCCCCTGCCTGCCCTTCTAGGGCACCCCTTACTGCACACAAACCCTGCAGGGCTCCCTGTCCTTTTGCCAGACTGGACAGCCTTGAAGGAGCCTCATTGCTTCTTGGCTTTGTACATGCTGCTGCTTTCTCCGGGAGGCCGTCTTCACCTGCCTCTTACCTGCTTCCGTACCTGAGTGCCACCTCCTCTGTGGTGACTTCCCTGACTACGGCTGCCCTGGGTCTTGTCCAGTACCCACTCTTATGGTAACATAGAATTGCAATAGTAGGTTTGTTACAGGACAGGGAGAGAAGGGCACCCCTGAAGCCCCAAACCTGCCTGCTCTAAGTGGGTTCTGCCATCCGCCACATCAAGACAAAACATATAAAGCTTTAATGAAAAGTGACTTTAATACAGTGAATATACAATATGGAGCACAAAGAATATAACTTCTAAATCAGACACCTGAAGTTACTCATCCCCTCATGGGTAAAAGTCCACCCAAAAGGAATTGGCCCAAAACAAGGCCTGAAAGCTGCCACAAGACTTAAAGCACCTGGCCGGGACCCATAGAAAAGGGTAAGATATGGCCATACAAGTCTGGGAAGAAAAGAGCAAAATCAAAATCAATATAAACACTGCCATAGTCACCTCCCTACAGGCCTCTCACCCATATCTGCCTTAACCAGTCCAGGGCCAAGAAACAAGCACGGTTCCATGTGGCTTCTTCAGGTCTCCTGGCTCTCCATCCTGCTTCCTTCTTCTCTTCTGACTCCTTCTCTTCTCTTTTTCTCTCCTCAGCGCCACCCTCCTTCTGGGTGGGGCAGGGAACCTGGAACTTCCCCTTTTCCCAGGGACACCCTGTTACAGGTTTACTTTGTGTTCTCCTAAAGTGGGCGATCTCCTGAGGGCAGGTGTTGTCCTGTTCCTCACAAAATCTGGCAGTTCATTCCAAGCTGTTTATACTGACAAAATGAAAAAAAGTGGGGTGTGGGGGGTGGGTTCTGCTCCTTTCTGAGCTACACTCAATCCATGAGCCCTAAAATCAAAGACTAATAAATTTGCTTTTAGAAAATAATAGCCTGAAGGCCGGGTCAAAAGTCAACAGAAGGGAAATTCTGTGCAGCTCATAGAACAAAGAGTGAGTTTCCTTAATGTACAAGCTCCTGTACATGGATTAGAAGACCAAGAACACAAAAGAATGTAAGCAGAGGAGGAAAGGGCAGGGGAATGCACCCCTCCCCCCTGGCGCATTACCCCCCCCCCCCCAGACAGAATGCTCCAGCTACCCAACCAACCACATTCACCACAGGAAAACAATACAAATGAAATGAAAATTACACTTATTTCATTGGGGAGGGTGGTGCCTTCATACATTGTTGGTAGGGATGTAAATTGATACAACTTTGGAGAACAATCCAGAGACATCTAGCAAAATGATGTATGCCTCTTACCTCCTGACTCAGCAAGTCTGCTGGAGGTTTGTCTGGCAGATAACTCGGGCATGACACTGGGTGCACAGACTGTTCACTGCGGCTTTGTACACGGGAGAAAAGACTGGAAGCACACGGACATTGGTCACCCCAGTGAGGGCCCCTTCTAGAGCTGCAAGAGAGCACAAGGAAGCTCTAGGTACCAATAAGGGGGGGATGTCTGGTTAGCCCAAAAATGCAAGATGCACAGCAATGAGTATCTCATACTGGCTTGTGTATACAAAGAAGTGAGGGCAGAAAAGAAGGATCTATTCAAGGTGACTTGTATGTGCACAAATGCCTGCTGAAGAGTGAACAAGAAGCCAGTTCATTGCTTGTCACCCAGGGGAACTGGGTGGCTAAGAAACAAAGGTGGGAGTTTGAGCCAGGTGGATGGATGGAGATATATATGTGTATACACACACACATACACCACAAAAGCAATACATACATACATACATACATTTTTTTTTTTTAGAGTTTCCTTTTGCCCTTTGTCCAGAAGTTCTTAAAAATGATTTGGCAGGGAGTTAATACAAAAGTCTTCTCCAGATAGGAGAATCTGGAGATTCCCAACAGGGCGTTTAGAGAAAAAGATGACTTTAAAAAAAAATGTATTTTATTTATTTATGCATATAGAACTGGGGTACAGGGCAGAGGTGCAGAGGTGGTGAGAGGACTCACCAGAGACAGTGGGGAGCAGAACAGGCGTATCGATGCAGTGGGAGCAGCAGCGAGACAGGAGAGGTCTGCTGAGCCATGTAGGTCAACTCCCTGGCCAGGGATCGAACTTGTGCTGAAGTGGATACAGCTAGCTTCAGAGTGTTGGGCTTTCACCCGTTGCGCCACCAGGGAGAGCCCAGAAAGGTGACTTTTGAGCACCCCGGCAGTGCTCCTTATAAGCCGTCCACGCCCCTGATCTCAAGGAATTTATGGTCTAGTGTGAAGAAGCCTCAGGCTTTGAAACCATTAAAGTAATCAAATAAAAATCAAAGTGAGACTGGGTGGCACAGACATTGTGCCCTGAAGCTCAGAGGGAGCAACAGCTTGGACTCTGGGGAGGGGGCAGAGGTCCTGCTAGTGCTTATGGAGGGCCAGCGCCCTTAGAAGCGGATACTGGGGGTGAAGGGTAAAGGGGATACCTGGGGGGGGGGGACACAGACTCAGGTGCTTCTGCAGGGGTGCCTGGAGAATGTGGAGTGCGGTGGGGTCAGCCCAGGCTTGTGGGACAGATTGGGGAACAGAGAGGCTGGGGTCAAAGAAGAAGCAGGCTGTCGCAGGGAAGAGGGTGCAAAAATGAGTGAGGACAGGAAGGAAAATCAGCAAGACGGTGAAAGCCACTGTCCCTTTCTGGTGGCCAGGGGGTTGGGCAGCGTGTTGAAGCAGGACTTATGTTGAGTTGCAAGTACTCAGGAGAACCGTGCTGACCACTGATTTTCGTCATGGTTTCTGAGCATTTGTGGCGTGGGGTTAGATACAAAGACAGGACTGAAAGGGTGGGAAGAAAGGGGAAGAAATCTTAACTTTTGGAATTGTGTTTTCATTGTTGGGGCAAAGTCTGGCAGTAAAGAGGGAGAGAAAATAAAGCAAGGAATGGAGACTTGGTTAACTCCAGAATAAAGTGTGTGTGTGTGGGGGGGGTGCTGGTGGTGTTAAATGAAGTGGTGACAGCAGAGCCACGCACTGACCAGGAATTGGGGTGACTGACCAGGAATTGGGGTGACAGCAGAGCCACGCACTGACTGTTTTAATGGAGGTTTAGAGTGGAAAATTTAGGATGGAAACTTCACAAGGCCAGAATCTAGAGGTGGGGTAGAAGTGGCTAGTGAGTCTTAAAAGCAACGATGGAAAATCCATAGGCACAGACCAGGGGTGGGGATTGGAGAATTTGTCAGTCAATACAAAGAAGCACAAGTCCCCACCGCTTAACCCAACCAGACCTTAGAAGTGGTAGGTTTCACAATAACCTGAAATTTTACAAAGGACTAAATCTCCCCCAAAGAACACCACAGAAAGATACTCCTTGCTCTGGTACAATGCACATCTTGTCCCAAGACTGCTTGCCTGTGTCTGGACAGCTGCCTCTTTTCATAAGCCCTCCTTTTAAAA